ATCCTACTGAAATAGGGAAAGAGAAAAGAAACTTGCCCTGATTAAATGTTGATAGCTATCTTTTTAGTTTTAGGACTTGTGATTAAATATCTATCCTTTTCCTATAGTTCTGACATCTCAAGGTTAAACCTAGCATGGTAATTTCATGAAGCTGATTTCTTGTAATCTTCGCAAAATTACAGCATTGTGATTAAATATCTAAATTTACGTTCATTAGGAGGTGATTTATTAGAGTGCAAGAATATATGTTGCGACAATGTCAATTTTAAACCACTAGGCAGGTAGAGAAATTGGATAGGGACAGCTATAGTTCCGAGTACTTCCACCAGCAACAATGATTAAAGAAAAACTTCATTATGAGTAAATAAGAGTGGTCACTCAAATTAATATTTCATCCTGAAAGCCAAATGCTTAAATCTCATTAACTCTTTGTACAAGCACTTAGTCATGTCAAGAAAGAACCAAGACACACTTCTCTCTTCTCTCTTATAATAGCCAAAAAAAAGAAAAGAACTACAGTTATTGAATACATCATAAAAGAGTACCAATCAAAATTCTTTTAATTTTTTTTTCTCCATCCTTTGCTGCCTTGATATGTAGTGCAGAATCCACCATGTATTCAAACTAAAACAGCTTCATAAAAAAAAACATGGTTGGTTTCCCTTAAAATCTTGGCAACAAGAAGACGTAGACAATGATTCTTGGGTCTCCTTTATACAAGACACTCTAATGAATTTCAACAAATAAACCATTCGTCAGATTTTGTTGAATTCAAGATCTAATATAAATATATGTGTAAATTATTATAGCCAAACTAACAAAAGAAGCAATGAATTGCCAAGTTTATGAGACAAGCCATGAAACTACCAAGTATAATTGTTAGAGCGTTGACCTTGACCATGCAAAAGTCTTAATCCTAGGGCACTGGTTATGCAATGCAGGTCACTGAGCAATTCTGATTAAGCTGCCAGCATCTAGGTTTTTGTGCTTGCAAAATTGACAAAACCTTACCATTTCAACTGTTCAACCAATTAACTTCAAAACATGGCCTAGCCAAGTGTCCAAGTCATCAGATTTTTGGTTCAAAAGTACTTGGCCTTATCCTATTTCCATTGTTTTTTAAGCATTGTTTTCTGGCAAGGACACCGGGTATTGTGTGTTCTGTTATGTGTCAGAGAAGTATTGCAGAATAGGAAAGTAGGATGGTCAATAGACATGCATTTTAGGATAGATAAATAACAAAAGAAGCTATTATTTGGATGGAGTATCAATGAAGATTGTATAGCTTTTTGAAGTTTCTTTGAAGTTTTATGGGATGGTAGACCATATAGCTCTCTCTCTCTCTGTCCTTTACTAGTTCAGTAAAACAAATCTTAACGCATTGTCTTCCCCGTGTAATGTATGGAGCATTATGGATGGGTCCTCCTAGATTTGGTTGTTTCCATAGTTTATGCTCCTAAAGCAACAAATTGGCTTTCGATGACTACACAGTAAGAGATTTGCTGTGTGGACAGATACGGGTCAAACATCTTTTATATTTTTGGTGATCAAGAATTTATCCTTTTATGCATGAAAACAAGAATGCTAAAAACAGACATGTTCAACAAAATGTGGTGCTTCCTTGGTCCTTAATTGGTTTTTGCTAGTTCACACATGATTGGATCTTTGCTAGAAAGCTAACATAATCATCGATTTATGAGGTTTGTTCATGCTAATTATTGAACATTTGAAATTCTCTGTTCCCATTATTTTTCATGGTTTATAGGTTTAGCAATCTACTTCCCATCTAGTACTGTCTTTTCCAGAGAGTAAAATCAAAATGAATTAATCTAGATATATTTGAGTGAATATTCCTGGACAGTATAGCTGATTTTTCATGCTTGCAAGATGTGCTAAATTTTAAGCTAGAGTCAATGATTTCAATATTGATTCATCGGTAATAGTTTTTACAGCTGTGATATGTTAGCACTAAAATGTAATGGAATGAAATGATGACCTTCAACTAATCATGTGTTCTGTGACTTCAATTAAACAAACAAAACTAACTTTAAACAAACATATTGATCTAGGATTTCAGATGGTTCTGTAAGTATGATTTTTAAGTGGCTTTAATATCCCACGGGGATAGTAAGTGACAAATTTCATGGAGGGTTACAGGTTCAACTTTTACTTCTGTTATTCTATCTTCCCTATTCTGTAATTTGGATATCTAAGTGGAATGTGCAGATTGGTTCTGTTCCAACACCAATTCTGATAGTGATGTCAAAGGAGCATGGGGTTCTGGTCCAAAACCACTTCTGGATAGCATTTGCTTGAGTTTAAACAATTGAATTTTTCTTTTCCTTTGTGGTACAAATATTTTATAGGAAGAGTTTATCCTGGTTTTTAGAATTGAATTTGGCAAGTGCTATTGTCAGATCCAAAAATCTGTCTGCACAGTATTTATTGGAAACATGATGAAATTGCGCTTCAGCTTTACAATAATATCTACACTCTACTTAAGAAAAGTTTTATTTCAAACAAGGTCAACTCTCTTTTGTTGGCTCGTGGTAATCTTCTCCTGTTTACTGCTCTGCAAGTCAATAATTGTTTTGTTTGAAGAATCATGTGAATTACTAGATAAGAAAAATGCAAGCATCAAGAAAACGGTGCTGTATTATGTGCAATTACATGAAACATGTGTGCATAAACTGAATTTCTTCTCTTCAGGAACAAGGATGCACTTGACGTGTTGAAGTGGTTGCACGAAATTTATGATGGCATGACAGAGGAAATCCTCATCATGTCATGAGAATGAGAATTGCATTCAGAATAGCATGTAGAGGGCATTAACTGGGATCGACCTTCTCTCTCAGAACTTTGGGTTACAATTACCTGCATTTGAGTCCTTTGTTTGGCCTCGCTTTTCCGGCACCTTGCACAAGATAATCAAAGTTGGTTCAAGGGAATGCCAAATTTGTTGTGGTGCGTAAATGGAGAATACAGAGGTGAAGTGACACGAGAATGTCCTAAAATGGTTGTCATACTGATGTTGGGCTATGTGAGTTCGAGTTGGCAATGCAAATGAGTGCAATGCAATTCTTTAATGGTGCTTAATATCAGCTCATGAGGTAACTTTCATCCTGAATTTACATGTTTTTACTGCATGGAAAAATAAGCTTATTTACATGGTTTTCAAGTTCATCATGTGATTTTTTTTAAAATTATCTAAATAAACTATGATACTATAATATGATTATCACAAAGTAAGAGATCACTCGCTCGCCAAAAAATGTTTTTGCTCATCATTTTAAGATACAAAATCAAAAGAAACATACAAATATTTCATCATCTTAAAAATAAAGATTAAATCACCACTTTAAAGATACAAAATTAATAAATCTATTATTCACAAGGAAGATATATAATAGATACATGGATTGCTAAAAGGCTAAATTAACTTTCAACTTTCCCCCAAATCTATATAAACATTAAAATGATACATATACATACATACATACATAGATACATACATATATATATATATATATTAACTATTTTATTTTTTATTGATTAAAAAATAATAATAGATAATAAATACCTAAATTTTTTACCAAATAACAAATAAAAAAAATATATATAAAAAAATCCAACCCATCGAAATCCCTAATTATAAATTGATTCTGTTTTTGGTGATTAGGAAAGCGGCAAAGCCCAAACCAAAAAAAGACTCGTCCGAGGATTCAAGGGCAGACTACCGTGGGACAGTCCATAAAACCAGCCTGTAAGCAGTTCATTCCAGCATTAGCTAGGCTGCTGAGCAGTGGGCAGCATGTGTGATCTATTTTCAAAGCCGGCTATCCTTGCTTTTAATTCAAAATAAAATAATTTATCATGAGATCTGTTATCTTCTTGGGGAAAAAAACAAAAAAATTTTTCTTAAATGCAAAGCTGTCAAGTAATGCTTCTTGTCTATCTCTAAAAATAACACAGCACAATAATTAAAACAAAATATAATACTAAATAAATTAAAGCATGCCTTGTCTAGGGTTGGATAACTGGCAAATGGAAATGCGCTGTGCTTTGTTTATTATTGTTTCATCGTAGGATGAAACACTAACGATGTACAATTCTTATAGTTTTTTTTTTAAATTTTAACATAAATAACTGACCAAAATTTAATTAACCTCATTTTTCAAGATAACACTTTGATAGAAGACCAAACAAAAGTAAACATTTGGAATGCGGTGTGTTTCTAAAAAATTTAATTTTTTTATAAAAAATAAATTTTTTATATATTTTAAATTATTTGAATACATTGATTTTAAAAATAATTTTTTAAAAATAAAAAACAATTATTTAAAAAATAATTATAACCACTCTAACTAAGGTTAGTGCACAGGAGCCAACGTATTTATACTCTTGCTGTCTTAAATATTAGCTTAACTCATCTGAAATGCCCTCGTTATGCAGTTCTATCGAACATTTGCTTAGAAAATAAAAACAAATTAAATCCAAAAAAAATAAAATTATCTAGTATTCCTCTCATACAAATCACAAAGAAGGTGGTTTTTAATTTTTATTTTTATTTTTTTGGACCACATATAAGTTTTGTTTTCCTTCTTTGATATAGATATGACCTTGACAAGATTATCAATTATTCCTCTCACAAAAATCAGATACTTTTTTTTTTTTAATTGACGTGGGGTGTTCGGACTAGTTTACGTGTATCATGACTAATCCCTATGATCCATTGAACATCCTGCAAGTCCAGTGAACAGATAAGGCACCGCAGGGGTGACAGGCATGCATGATGAAATTCGAACCCAAATACAAAGAAAAAAGACAAGCTTTTCTTACCACTAGGCCAGAACCTCACTATTTTCTTTACGTGATAATCAGATACTTGATCAGTCTAGTTAAGATCAAGTTACTAGAGATGATAAAGAGTGGGGTAGCTTTAAAAAAGAAGAAGGGAATCTCCCTGTATAACAAGCAACGCACCTTTCTTTACGTGAGTGTTTAGTTTTTGTGTTATAATATTTTTTTAAATTATTTTTTACTCGAAGAAAATAGATTGATGCTTTTTATTTACTTTTGTATAATTTTTATATATTTATATCAAAAATAAATTATAAAAAAATATTATATTAATTTATTTTTAATTTAAAAAAAAAACATTTTGGAATACTCCACTTCACCCGAACGATAAACACAGGTAGGCCAAGAGAAATGCTTTTTTTTTACTTTCTGACATTACACAATGTACTTGTTGATGTAATAATGAAATTAGGAGAGCGAGCATCATAAGATAAGTGTACACGTGGCTAAGGGGGACACTGCAGGGCTACAATGTTGTTACAGTAGCCGTTTTGCTTTTGTGATTTGAAAGTTTTTTAAAAAAATTAATTTTTTTATTTTTTAAAATATTTTAATATACTAATATTAAAATTAATTTTTAAAAAATAAAAAAATATTTTCAATATATTTTCGTATGAAAAACAATCGTCTAATCACTTGTTATGGACGGTGTATCTTGTGGGGTTACAGCCTTGAAGACGTGATGGGTGGATGATGATAATGACTTTGGAAATTCTCCAGATGAAGCCCTATCTCTCGAAGGCAAAGCATGCCTCCGAATGTATGATGATGATGGGCTTGTGTTTTTTTATTTTTTTATTTTTTTATTATATGATGCATCGAGCCATGGGTGACATAAATTAGATATACAATTTTAAATTGGAAGCAAGGTGGCCTACAACCATATGCAATGATTCCATTGCCCCATCGTCCCCGTTGTGATTGAAGCTCGTAGCCCACCATGAAGGGAAAAATCAGGTTGTCCACGTGTCGTTCAAATCCGAGATCTTCAATTATAAGTGTATTTGGTAGTGTAGTATTTATTATTTTTTAAATAATTTTTTTTATCAAAATATATATTAATAATTTTTTTTAAAAAAAAATTATTTTTAATATTAGCCCATCAAAATAATCTAAAATATATAAATTATATTAAATTTTAATTAAAAAATAATTTTTTTAAATATACAGATTGAATCGTATTTCTAAACAGTTTCAGTATGAAGCCGTGAAATTAAACAAAACAAAAAAACTAACAAAAGGGTTCCTCTTTATATTGTTTTGCTTTTCACATTTTTTGAGTTCCATTCTCAAGCATCTCTCGAGAAGTATATTTATTCGGTAACGGTGTGTTATGCCATCCTTTGAAAGCTTAAAGAATCATGCCAACGCAGTTCAAATCGAAGTGACTTTTATTCAAAGTATGATCACTTGTATTCGAAGTATGATCTCGACTCTTTTTTTCAAATTATTTTGAAATTGATGAGTCAAATCTAGATAATTTATCAGGTTAATTCATGAACCAATTCATTATATTATATCTCGAAAAAATATATAAAATATATGATTAAATCAAGTTAAATAGCTTTTTAAAAAATTGAATTAATTTATCCACATGTTGCTTATTTCCGAGAAAATAATAATGTACGACACGTCATAAGCTTCTGAAAATAAACGAGTGCCTAACTTTTGTATACAGGCCAAGCAGGGGGACCTAGCCCGCTAGTGAGTGTCCTCTTTTTTTTATTATTAATTTTTTCCTTGCCATTAATTCTTTCCATTTAAGTAGCAACTTATGCCCCCTCTTCTATTTCTTTAATAAATTAAATTAACTTTGTTTTTTAAATAATGATTGTTCTTTTTTTAAAAAAAAAAAAAAAGTGAAGTGATACTTTGAAGAGATTAGTTTGATTTTTTGTGATTCTTGTCTCTATTTTATATAGATTAGCTTTATTTAAATTGAGTTTTTTTTTATAAAATAAAATTTATTTGTTATTAACAACAACAATTATCCACTAAAATGAAAGGAATAAAAATATTTTAAAAAAAAATAGTCAATGTAAGACATTTGCAGGTGCATTTATATTTTATTTATATTATTAAGATTAACTTATTGCTTTGATATTTAATTAGCATTGACAGAAAAAATTATTTACCAGTTCATATATTTTTTTTAAATTTATCATATAAAGTGTATTTTTTTTCACTTATCAATTAGAAAAAAAAACTTGATACATGAAAACATATTCACAACAGAATTATTTTGTTCATTTTATATTAGAAATTAATTTAAAATTCTACTTGTATCAAACGGATCACTCTTATATTTTTTAATTAACATTAACAACTCTTACAATTTATCAATTCATATATATATTTTTTAATTTATTCTATAAATATTTTTTTTGATTTTTTTATTTTTAAAAATTCATAATACAATAAAATTTATTTGTAATATTGACATATTTTTTTTTACCGTGTTAAAATTTAATTTGGGATTCTACCCGCGACACAACACGGGTTGTAAAACTAGTAGTGTTCCATATGCTTTTATGGTTAAATTCTTTTTTAAAGGCTAAATAATAGCAAAGAGGGAGAAATATTCGAAGTGTATATATTAGATAAGAATAAATAAAATGAAAACACAGTAGAAAAAAAAAAAGGTAAAATGTGAGATACTAGGAACCATCAACCATTAATCTACAATAAAAAATAAACCATCGATAAAAAATAAAGACCTTTTATTTTGCTTCTGATCCAGGCATTTAGATGTTGATTCCTCTTTTATTTTCTATCATTAAATCTTTTTAATTCATCCTGTGATTATCAATTCTTACTATTTATAATAAATAGCACATTTTAAAAAATGATACACACACATATATATATATATATACACGCGCGCGCGCGCGCGTGTATGATTTACACACACATATATATATATATACACATGCGCGTGCACGCGCGTGTATGTATATTTATAGTCCTTTAGTTCTAAGTTATAACTACTTTAAGCGCAACATTATGCTTTGGCGTGACTTAAATAAAAAATATTCAACATAAAAAGTATTAAGTTTCGTGAATTTAAAATTAACCGACTCAATTTGACTCAATTTATTGAATAAAAAAAATTCAACATAAAAATATATTAAATTGAAAGAAATCATTGATATTGTTATTAACATTGTCTAGTTAATCAATTTTAAAATTAATTGATTTTATTTATTATCTAATCCGAGTTTAAAATTGAATTATATAAGATTTATTTTAATATAATCTAACTAATTTAATGAGTTTCAATACAACTTGGATGAAAAATAAAAATAATTATTTGATTTAAAAGAATTCATAAAAAACAAAGGGAATAATTTATCAAGATAGATTCAAAATTAAGTAAATATTAAAGAAAAAAATGAAAAAAAAGAAAAGCAAAAAAAAAAATTCATATTTTTTTTATATAAAAATCAAAGACAAGTTGATAAAGTAATGGAGATATTGATGTTTAGCATTATGATAATGATGATAGTTCAAAACACTTTTTACTTAGAAATATATTAAATAATTTTTTTATTTTTAAAAAATTATTTTTGATATCAATACATTAAAACGATCTAAGAATATAATTTTTTATTTTAAATAAAAAATTTTAAAATTTTATAGAATATGATTTCTACTATGTTTCCAAACCAACCCAATTAAAAAAAAAATAATTGAGGTACAAACACTTAAGTGAAAAGGAATTAAAAATAAAATAACTCAATTAAAAAGAAATTCAGGTAAACGTGTTTATTTGACATTTGATTATAGATTTTTTATAAGTGCAGATATCGAATTTTTGTTCACCTCTACCTTTTCAACTCAGCTTCTTCTTCTTCTTCACAGGCGTTTCTTTAACACCACAGTCCAAAAATCCAATTTCCAAGTCAAATATATGCCAGAAGCTATGGGTTTTGAGGTCGGGAAAAACGCACAAAAGATGACGACGAATTAAATTAAGTCCAAATCATAGCAAGGAAAAAAAAGGGATTTTTTATATTTTGAAATTCATAATAATAATAATAATAATAAGGTTGTGTTGCTATTAATATTAAGATTTTGCTATTAATAAGGAAATTGATCCCAAATCTAGCTTTCTTCTCCACCAACATTTGTTTGTCGTTGCTGGGGAGCTTGAAGAAGGATAAGGTTGCTCGCCGTATAAGAACTCGGTAATATTATTTTTCTCATGCATGCATATTGTCTTCCCGGGCTGTTCTCCGTGACTCTTTTGTACTCTGATAGATATTACATTTTAAAATATTTTTTATTTATAAATATATTAAAATAGTATTTTCTTATTATTTCTTTCCCTCTCCTGCATGTCTAAATTTAAGTAATTTTTTAAAAATCTTCAAAATACTTCTTCCATATCTATCCAAAGTATTTAAAAAGACAGCGCTTTAATTATAACAATAATAATAAAAAAAAAAAAACAATTAAAGAGCAGATAAACATGCAAAAGGGGCGGTGCGTGCCCACAAGCAATCGATTATAAGAGGAGATGGTTTTGCCGACAAATAATATAATTAATTTCGATAACCCAATCTTCTTATTTCTCTCAGATCCCATCATTCCATGAACCACCAGCACATTGTTAAATTAAAGTAGAAAAATGTGCCCCCACCATATATTATAATTTATCAATTTTCCTTTAAGAGAATTTCGTCTCCTCTCAACAATTTGCTCTCTCTGAATTGTTGATTACTGTGTGCGTAAGAGAATCCCTCCTTTTTAATTCTTCTTGTGTTTAGCAGCAGTTGTTTGCTTCTTTTTTCTTTTCTATGATTTTTTATGCTGGGGTTTTAATCCATATTTCTGAGGCCAATACTCTTCGGTTAATCTATCATGGCATGGCATTGATGGTAAACACGCCCTTGAAATTGTCGAATTTATTAGTTATTTCTTAATAATTAACTTGGATTGGATGTTCTGTTGCAACCTGCAATTGTTTGTGAGAGTTTGGTCTTCTTCTTTCTCAACGTTTCATGAATATGGATGAAATATATTATATTATATAATTACAAAGGCAAATGATTTTTATTGACGTTGGAGTTGATTTTCTTTTTTATTTTTAGCAGAGGTTATATATATGCATAAATAGCACATGTCATACTTCCAGCGGTTGGGGGATATGAATTACATGGCGGAAGAAGCAGAAATGGTCGATTTCGAAATGGATGGACGAGCCGCAGCCGGTGTGGAAGATGTTGAAGCCAATGAATACGACTTGGTATTCTTCTCAACTTATTTTTTGGTAGTTTTGGTATATATATATATATTTTTATGAACGAGTATTTTATTTCGGGTAGAATTTACAAAATTAATTAATCTGGAATTCTTGGTAAAAAATGAGCAGCTTACCAAGGCTACGGATACATCTTCTGAGCAGGCCAGGAATGGTCAAGACATACAGGGTATTCCCTGGGAAAGATTGAATATAACCAGGGAAAAGTACAGATTGACCAGGCTTGAGCAGTACAAGAATTATGAGAACATTCCGTTATCCGGCGAAGCTGTCGATAAGGTACTTTAATACTCTTGATATTGTTGGTTATTAACTTGCTTTCTGGGTTTCATAATTCTTTGTGATTATTGTACTTGGTTGTTTTAGGAGTGCAAACAAATGGAGAAGGGAGGCTACTACTATGAATTCTTCCATAATACTAGATCGGTTAAGCCCACTATATTTCATTTTCAGGTTTGTGGATTTTGCAACTTCTGTAGGTGAATAGCAGATTCTTCTATGCACTTGTCCATGTAAAAACCTCATCGTTGTGTTTGTGTTTGTGTTTGAGCTGTCTTGACATCCTTCTGAAATAGGGAAAGAGAAAAGAAACTAGCTCTGATTAAATGTTGCTAGCTATCTATTTAGTTTTAGGACTTCTATCCTTAAATGCTAGTGTTTTATTCTTAGAACAATTTGTTTCTGTATTTATAAGGGGCAACTATGTGTTGTTTTTTTCTCTTTGGACTGCACATAGGAGCAAGTTCCCTTTAAAGCCATGTTGCATGTTAGCTGACTTCATCTACCTTTGCTAGTTATATTGCCCACTGGACACTTCAGAGCCTTTTGTTGTGCTATTGTTGTGCAGCTCAGGAACTTGGTTTGGGCCACTTCGAAACATGATGTATATCTGGTGTCGAATTTTTCAGTCATGCACTGGTCATCCATGTCTGGCACTTTGTCCGAGGTCATCAATTTTGCAGGACATGTAGCACCTTCTGAGGTATTATGATTATTTCCATGTTGACTTTCACAGTTAATAACAAATCTGTTTGTCAAGTATGATTAATCTCTCTCTCGTGTTTCTCAAGAAAAGTTCCTTATCAGCCAAGTTCATATTTACCATTCTGGTTCCCTCCCCCCCAACTCATAATTGTTTGCGATACAGAAACATGCTGGAAGTTTGTTAGAAGGTTTCACCCAAACTCCAATCAGCACTATAGCAGTCAAAGATAATTTTCTTGTTGCTGGAGGCCTCCGAGGAGAGCTTACTTGCAAAGTGAGTTGATTTCTCAGCAAACCTTTCTTCATTTGTTAGCTTATATAAAGAGGTAAGGTTTTTTGTAGTCTTATTTTATTTTGAGCCCTGTTCTTGACCTCATGTGTTGGATTACCATACAAGACACAGCAGCATTAGGAAGTTGATGAAATTGATAAATTGCAGTTCTACTTTGTATAAAGACTGTTCTGATGACGTTGTCCTAATGATGATTGCATCATGAGTGACCCTCTGTTGTCCTCCATCTTGTACTGCCGAACGGTTTCAATTTCTAATGCTGCATGACTGAGAACATACATGTGTTCAGCATTGATTTTATATGTGGAGGCAGTTATCAGATGTTATTGTTATCGTTGATAAAAGTTTTAGAGCTTTGGAGCTGAATAGGAATTGGAAAGATCAAGTTTAGAGGCTAATAACATAATACGGCATCAAAGTGAGGAACCTGGCTGGTAGAATTTTCAGGGAGACAGTTGAACAAAGGCTTTTATGGGTCACAAACAATTTGATTATTTGCATAACTTGTCAAACAAGAGTTAATTTGAGGTTGCAAAGGTATTACTGTAGCCTGAGATCAAGTAGTGTAGTGAACAAAGAGGCAATAGGAGGATAAGAATTATTAAGTTCGGAAAGAGAAATATGGAAGGGATTATTGGAATATGCACATCAATTTGGATGCAATTGGTGGGAAGATCTATATGAGATTATTTTGTTTTTCCATATGAAGAGAATTAGGCAAAACATCAGTAAGTTAGATCTATATGGTTAAATATTAATTACAGGTTCTGTGTTGTGGTGACTTGACTCAGTTTCTACGTTTGCATCTTGCAAAGCTGCAGGATTGAGCTGTGCTGATGTGAAACATGAAGTGAGGATGGATGTGAATTAGAAGATAAGCTATTGGGGAAAAGGAAATAGAAAGCTTGTTGCAAGCATTCTTTTTATTTTTCCTTTGGCGAATGCTGAGTGTTTGGAGGGTTCAATAAATGCTTTTAAACACATTTGCTTTGTGTCAACTTTGTCTTTGCCCTTCATTTCATTTCATACTTCAGAGTTTAGACATAAGAATTAAAAGATCATGTCCTCAATGTTGCCGCGTAGCATTTAGGGGGAACATTTGAAACCGACGTTTGGAATATGAAATTGGACAATGATATTGGATCCTGAAATGGAATTATGCACAGTTTAGGATAGAAAAAAGAAGAAGCATGCTCTGCACTCCTCCATGGGATTCCGTAGTCCTTGGATTTGGAGCCTCTTATGTTAGCTGCCACAAGCGACCTACATGTTGTATCGGTCAGGATAGAAGTCCTGTCAGATGTAATAAGACAAATAAAATCATGGACAAGTTTTATGGTAAATGTTTATTAGTAAATCGAAATTGAGTTTTAACCATTAACCTGGTATGTAAAAAATGTTTTTTTCCTCCTTCAATGAAGTCTTTTTTTTCATGAAGTTAGATGTCAGTAGTAGGCCATGGCCATTTTCATTTGGATAATCGTGTACGTCTTTTGTTTATCACATGTTCAATATCTCATCAGCAGGGCCTGGTACATGCTGCATGTTTGCAACAGGCATGTATATTTACTTCTTTCTGCCAAATATCTTTTAGATTTTCATTTCACAGTTCGTTCCTTTGATGAACTGCTGAAATTGTTAACATTGTATTTTAGGAGCCAAGGTTTTGGAAAGCTAACGGAATGCTCTACTTTTCCTGAGTTTCAAACATCTTCTGCTCCTGCAAATAGGAAAAATAAAATAAGATACAATCAAAATTATGGAAAGACCAGTAGGCTGCTCATGCATCTTTTCTGGAAGTCTTTTTCTAACCTGTTAATTTATCTGCTGCAGCGTTTGGATAAGCAAGGAGTTAGCTTTTGTACCCGCACAACATACGATGATAATGCCATCACGAATGCTATTGAGATATATGATGGCATGAGGTAGTAAGATTATTTTGTATTTGCTCAGTATCATAAATTGTTTTTAGCCATTACAGATTGATATGGGAACTGTTCTTGCAGGGGTGGAATCAAATTCATTACATCCAACAATGATTGTGGTCTTAGAGAATATGACTTGGAGACGTTTCAGCTTTTGAATCACTTCTGTTTCCCTTGGCCGGTGAATGTAAGCCATCCTCATCACTTACAAGAAACACTAATATGCATTTTGTGGTTTTTTTTTTTTTTTTTGTTTCTGTCCCAACTTTCTGTGTGACTGCTACATGAATACTCACTGTTAGAAAGGAACAACACATATAGGGGAATTGCTAACTGGGAATTGAGTTTTCTCCATCAATTTCTTTTCATTTGCATAAAATAGATGGAAGATGCCACTACAATAATGGTAGAAGGAAAAAAGAAATTAAACAATCAAAATGTGTTCGAAGTCTATTCGGAGCAGTTTATAAATGAATTGATAGAATTGATTGCAAATGGATTTTCTATTCAAAACTATTTGGAAAAACAAAAGCATAATTGAGTTAAAGCTAGCATGATAAAATAGGAATTGACAAATCTTACCAAAATAAGTCTTGGTCTCGGCTCTACTGATCCATTTGAGTTGTAATTTCAATTCATTTCTCCTAACTAATTTTGGTTTCCAACTCATGAATTGGGATCAACAAATCCAAATTCAACTTGTTTTGTCCAATTCGGAGTGTTCCAAACTGGGTGTTAATCAGGTTTTTGAAGCGTCTTCAAGGTCCTTGACTCTGCAATCTTTAGTCATCATCTGTTGTGGAACTCTATAGCTGCTATGATTTTCCCAGCTTCCAATTTGATGACTAAACTTGTTTTTATTGCAGCACGCATCAATGAGTCCTGACTGTAGGCTAATGACTGTTGTCGGAGATAACTTGGATGGATTGCTGGTAGATTCACAGAGTGGGAAGGTACAACAAGTTTTCCATCTTAAGTTTTTTTTAAGTCAAATGAAATTGGTATCTCTATTTTTCCCGGAGAGGAATTATGTTGCTTTCAAGACAGTTAAGTGTATAGAAAACTAACTGGAAAGCATTCAATAACCCACCTGCCCCCATCAACTATTCTTTTTTCTTCTTCTTCTGTATTAGTCCAGTTGGAAAATTATTTAGGGAAGTGTAACCTTGTTTTCTATTTGTCATCTTCCATGCTCTTAATTTCTGGAATGCCTGAAGCACTCGTCCCTGCCTTCTGTCTGATGATGCACTACATTTTTTTGTTATTATTTTTTAAGTGAAGTTCGTGTTCTTTAAGCATGTTTTTTTAAACTCTGTTTTTTTGTAATTCTTGGTTATTCAGTTCAGACACTGAATATTGTTTGCATTCTTAAATCATAATCATGTCAATATTTTGGCAGACTGTATCCACTGTAGAAGGACATTCCGATTATTCTTTTGCATCAGCATGGCACCCAGATGGACGTGTTTTTGCCACAGGGAATCAGGATAAAACTTGCCGGTTGTGGGATATAAGAAAGTTGTCATCGCCTACTGTGATACTCAAGGGAAACTTGGGTGCGGTTCGTTCAATTCGTTTCTCATCAGATGGGCAATTCATGTTCGTAGCTGAACCTGCAGATTTTGTGCATGTTTATAGCACACGAGATGACTACAGAAAGCGGCAAGAGATTGATTTCTTTGGTGAGATTTCAGGAGTAGCTCTCAGCCCAGATGATGAATCTTTGTCTATCGGAATCTGGGACCGGACTTATGCGAGCTTGCTACAGTACAACAAAAGACATGAATATGGGTATCTCGATTCCTACTTGTGATTGTGTGTCAAAGCATCTTCTTCACTAGCTTGCTGCTCAATCTTGTATCCACCATTTCGTGTTGTATTCATTAGGTCTGATTGAAATCAAAGATGAGGATAGAATAAGACACTCCTCGTTAGAACTTTGCTTGGAGAGCATGTACAGTAACATTTTGAACATTACGTGAAATGAAAGACGTCTTCGTTCACTCCATTTTTCTTTCAAGTTTTGCACCGTCTCCCCATCGGGCTTGTAACCCCAGCAAGGCCAGCTTCTATTTTGAGTGAGCTTTGTGATTTCGAGACAAACCCGACAGACCTATTTACTGGGTTTAAAGTAGAGATCAAACAGCACACCATGATTTGCAACATCAAGCAATTCGCAATGCGGACCTGACATTCTCTCGGAGGTAAAACCCATCTATCTTTGCTTTTCCTTCCCATTTATTTAACTAGAGTTCAAAATCATTTGAAGCCTCTGTATAGCTCAGAGGTCCAGTCCTTTAGCATCGCCGACGAATCTTCCATTTCCTTAACAAAAACTCCATTCCTCTTTTACTAGAAACCATACCAACGGAATACTCAACTTGGATTCCACAAAGCTTCAACAAAGCCAGCCCCCAAAGTTCCAGAGAAAAAGAAACACTCATTTCTCACCCTCGTAAAATCTGCCACAGATTAACGACCTCCTCCTCTTTTTTTTTTTATATATAAAAAAAATAGATATCCGTATCAGTTTATTATAGGTATTTTAATTAATTTTATCTTAAAATCATGATTATTAAAAAAAATATTCAAAATTTAATTAAACTACCTCGTAATTCTCCTCCTTCATTTCTTGACTGCTTGTATGATGTCAAGGGTTCAATTCCCATTTATTCGCGACCTTCCAATGTCTCTTGATTTTTAATTCTTTCCTAGTCCAAGAAAAATTTCTTTTGAACCCTAATCCCATTAAAGACTCACCATTTCTGCTGTTTGTGATTTTTCTTGACCATGGTCTCTGATGTCACGACAAGTCGAGAACTTTCGGAATGGATTTTTTTAACCCATCATTTTATATATATATATATGAAATTTGTTTGGCCCTCGCAAACAGCGGCAACATATCTAGTTAATATTAATTGAAAGAAGATGAAAATTCACTATGCTGATTCTTTCTCTCACATTTCATTATTTATAGCATTGTTTGTTATGTAAAGTTCCTACCTCGTTCCCTCGGTTTTTTTGCCTTTTTAGTTTGTTCATCAAACTTTTTATCCATTTGGTTTGGTCCTCAACAGTGTTTTTTCCCTTTGTCCTAATTTTTTTTTTTACTATTGATTTAAATATTAATTTGAATAAAAATTATATTTATTTATTTTTTATAAAATTATCAGAATCTCATGATTTGGATAACAGATTTGACACGTTGATACGGGTTAATTCAAGTTGATGTATAATATATTTAATATTGTAGTAGCTTTTATGATTGTGATTTAAAAAAAATTATTTTATGAAAAGTATTTTTGGTTGAGATTGATTTGATATTTATATGTGTTTGATTAAAATTATAATTGAAATTAAGGTTGAATAAAAAGCATTTATAATTGAAATTAAGGTTGAATAAAAAACATTTTAATGTGTTTGGTTAAATATACTTTTCAAATTGAGATTATAAAATAAGTAAACAAGATATATTAATATTGATAATTTTTAGTTTAACTATTGTAAATTTAACTATCATTATTTATTATTAAATAAATAATATTTTATACAAATATTTTATTATTATTTCATTAACTTATCGACAATTTTATTATTTATAAAATTCATTTGATAAAGATTATAGTTTCTATGATTTTATGAGCGTGCAATAAAATCAGGTAAAATATCATTAGAAATAAAATTAAAATTGCTATCAAGTTCCGTAAATGCTGCATCATCATGTGATCTCTTTTTAATTTATGTTGTGTTATTGAATAATATTAAACACTAGTTTTTCAAGTAAAACACAATTTTAAAAAATAGATTTTTTTTACCAGGTCAGGATGCGGTCCAATAAGACACAGTTCAAGTGAATAGTGCAGAGTAAATTAATTCATCAGACACTGTTCACTTCTTGAAGTGAACAATGCAGAGTTAATTAATTCACTTTGTACATAAGCAGCTCTCAATTGCTTTCTACAAACCAATAATTTCAGTATAAATTATGTGAGTCCTGTACAAACAATAAAGTAAATTTTAATATTATCAAACATGTTATTTGTATTTGCTCTAAATTAAAAGTTAAAACTACAACGTAAACAAACATCTTTATAATATGTTATTATTTTGTTATTTAAAAAATATCATGTTGTTTTTGTTTTAAATTAAACTATATTTTTTTAATAATATAAATTGTTTTTAAATTTATTAAATTAACTAAATTACATCATGTTATTTAATTAAAAAAACATATTAATAAGACTTGAAAATTTATTTTACACTGCGAGAAATCATCATCTGGTATATTTTTATTTTGCGTTAAAAATTAACTTGGGGAAACGGCGACCCCGCAATCGGAAGGGGACAGTGAAAGGAAGAAATGGGAAGTGTTAATTTGAATGATAGGATGGTAGCGTGGGCCCATCTTGACAAAGAAATAGCCTGTGGAGCTGGAAAAATAGCTATGGAATCCCGTGAACATTGCTTGGATCTTGTGAACTTCCCCATCTTGTTTTGGAAGGGACCAGTGGAGCACTCAATTTTCAACAAAATAATTTTATAATATTTATTTTTTAATTATTAATTATCAAAACATTCTAAAAAAAATATAATTAAGATTTTAGGTTTTCAAGTTAATTTCCATTTCTTAAAATTAATTCCACTTTTTTTTATGCTTTTGAGAACTAAATCTTCTTTTGACTTACTAAAAATGAAATATTAGTGAAAATATGAACAAATAAGGGAATATTAATAGAGTGAATTCTTTTTTTTTAAAAAAAAAAAAGACTTGAAGAAAAAGTTTGTCTACTATATAAGAGTAAATATGCCAACTATAACTCTTACAATATCACGTGTATGAAGCACTATTTTCCAAAGAGAGGGTTTAGACTTGCGATTTTTATTTGAAAGAATCATACGCAAATCCATGAGATGACATGATGAGATTTAGAGATAAGGCAGAATATTCCTTGGTACATTTTGGCCTTAATATAGCATAGATTTGAAACCTAATCGGATTTGAAGGGTCATCCAAATCCAGCTAATTCAAAATTAAAATTAAATTAGGTTAAAAAAATAAAAAATAAAAACTTGATGTGATATGATTAATTTGGTAGATTGGTCCGGTAATCTAATTGATCCGGCAAGACTCAAATAAAAACCTGATTGTAATTTATTAATTTTTATTTTTTTACTAAAATAATGTTATTTTAATTTAAAAAAATAAATCTAATTCAGTCAAAATTTGAAACTGAGCTTTAAACTGAATTAAATCTGAAAACTATACATTTAGGAGAATAATACCTTTTGTTAGGATAAAAAAAAATGTCTATGATGCGAAGTCTTGGAGAATACGAGTTAGTTACATTTAGGAGAATAATACCTTTTGTTAAAAATATCTATGATGCAAAGTCTTGGAGAATACGAGATACTGGTTGAGTACTAAGTTAATGTTTGTTTTTTGTTTTTTTCTTGTATTTTAAAAATAATTTTATTTATTTTATTTTTAATTAAATTTTTTAATAATTTTATATTAATTTTTTAAAAAATAAAAAATATTACGTTATATATTAACCTAAAAAGTTAACCACTTTTATTTCACATTTTTTAAAAAATAAAAAATATTACGTTAATATATTAACCTAAAAAATTAACCACTTTTATTTCACAAAATCCCCAACACATGTATAAGATTGTGCGGCGCAAAATGAGTATGCTGCCTAACTACTTGTGGATTGAGAGATACGCAAGTATCCACGAGCTACTTGGCCAGCCTTTGAAGGACTAAAATAAAAAAAGAAGAAGTTGTTGTATCTCACTAATATATCATTAGTCAATGGGAATATTTTAGTGTGAAATGGAATCGATAAGAAATAATTGAGGAGGGATAATTATTATTTATAATTTATTTTTATTTTTTAAAAAAATTATTTTTTAATATTAAATTTATTGGAGATTGAGTTTCATAATTTATTTTCTCTTGTTTTCTATGAGATTATATAATCTTATAACCTAGATTATAAGTTTTATATGTTAACTCGATTAATTCAAGTTTTTATAGGTTCTTTTTTGTAATTGAGTATTTTTTTTTAATTTTTTTTTCATCAGTTGATTGATTAAGAATTAAACTTCATAGTTTGATATGGTTTGTTTTATATAAAACTATTATAATTTCATGACCTAGGGTAATAGTGGTGAGTTAAATTGAGTTGACTTGAGATTTTTTTACATATATATATTTTCATCATCTAATGTTGGATTAATTAAGAATTGAGTTTCATAATTTATTTTAATTTACTTTCTATTGAATTATCTTAATCTTATAGTTAAGTTTAGATATATTAACTAGGGTTAATTCAAGTTTTTCTTATCTTTGTTTTAATTGATTTTTTTAATTTTTTTATTTAATATTGAGTTAATTAAGAATTGAATTTCAATATATTTTTTAATATGCTGTCTCATAATCTTGGTGGAGGATTTTACATGTTAATATAGATTGATCATGATCGATTTAATATGTTGTTATCTTAATTTTTCTTTAAATATCATCTTAAAAAAGTTTCTAATTAAACTATTTTTTTAGTTGTTTTTGAATTATTAAGTTAATTAGATTTATTGTTTTAATCTCTAAATGATTTTTTTTGGTGAAAACACATTAATAGAATCTAAATATTTTTTTTAAAAAAATTCAATTTCGACCCGTGAAAAAACACTACACAAACATATTGTTAATTAAGTAGAAAAATCCGCTCAAATATTTTAACATCAACATGATAATACCTGGTGTGTTTTGAGGGTAATTAAGTATCTGGTTTCTTCTTCTTCTTTTTTTGTTGGATTACAAATGAGAGGCTTGAAATTGAGCTTGAGGTTTTTCTACCAAAAAAAAAAAAAAAACATTTATCAGTATCAGCTGAGTCACGATTAATTGACATTTGGAGCTAATTAAAATAGGAGTCGCTGTCACTTGATAATATCTGATCACTAGTACACACTATCTTTCACAACTATTGCAAAAGAGCCACAAACCTTAAATGGTGT